TGCAGAACTGTGAGTCAATTAAACATCTTTCCTTTACAAATTACCCAGTTTTGGGTATTTTTCCATATCAGCATGAAAAAGGACTAATACAGTAAATTCGTACTTAGAGTGGGGGGCTACTATAAGGATACCTGAAAATGTGGAAGCAACGTTGGAACTGGGTAACAGGCAGAGGTTGGAACAGTTTGGACGACTCAGAAGAAGACAGGAAGATATGGGAACGTTTGGAACTTCCTAGAGACCTGTTGGATGGCTTTGACCAAAATACTGATAGTGATATGGACAATGAAGTCCAGGCTGAGGTGGTCTCAGGTGGAGATAAGAAACTTATTGGGAACTGGAGCAAAAGTGACTCTTGTTATGCTTTAGCAAAGAGAGTGGCGGCATTTTGCCCCTGCCCTAGAGATCTGTGGAACCTTGAATTTGAGAGAGATGATTTAGGGTATCTGGTAGAATAAATTTCTAAGTGACATAGTATTCAAGAGGAAGCAGAATATAAATATTTGGAAAATATGCAGTCTGATGATTTTATAGAAAAGAAAACCTCATTTACTAGGGATAAATTGAAGCCAGTTGCACAAATTTACATAAGTAACGAGGGGCTAAATGCTAATCACCAAGACAATGGGGAAAATGTCTCCAGGGCATGCCAGAGACCTTCATGGCAGCCCCTTCCATCACAGGCCTGGAGGCCTAGGAGGGAAAAATGGTTTTGTGGGCAGGCTCCCCCTGCTCTATGCAGCTTTGGGACATGGTGCCCTGCCTTCTAGCAGTTTCTGCTCCAGCCATGGCTAAAAGACGACAGTGTACAGCTCAAGCCAATGCTTCAAAGAGGGCAAGTCCCAAGACTTGGTGGCTTACACATGGTGCTGGGCCTGTGGGTGAACAGAAGTCAAGAACTGAGGTTTGGGAACCTCTGCCTAGATTTCACAGATATATAGAAACAACTACATGTCAAGGCAGAAGTTTGCTGTGGGGCCAGAGCCCTCATGGAGAACCTCTGCTGGGGCAGTGCAGAAGGAAAATGTGTGGTTGGAGTCCACACACAGAATTCCCACTGGGGCAATTCTGGTGATTAGCATTTAGCCCCTCGTTACTTATGTAAATTTGTGCAACTGGCTTCAATTTCTCCCTAGTAAATGAGGTTTTCTTTTCTATAAAATCATCAGACTGCATATTTTCCAAATATTTATATTCTGCTTCCTCTTGAAGCTGTGAGAAGAGGGCCACCATCCTCCGGACTCCAGAATGGTAGATCCACTGACAGCTTGCACTGTGTGCCTGGAAAAGCCACAGACACTCAACACCACTCCAGGAGGGGGGCTATTCCCTGCAAAGCCACAATGGTGGAGCTGCCCAAGGCCATGGGAGCCCACCTCTTGCATCAGGGTGCCCTGGATATAAGACATAGAGTCAAAGGAGATTATTTTGGAACTTTAATGTTTAATGACTGCCCTATTGGATTTTGGACTTGCATGGTGCCTATAACCCCTTTATTTTGGCCAATTTCTCCCATTTGGAATGGGTATATTTACCCAATGCTTGTACTCCCATTGAATCTAGGAAGTAACTAACTTGCTTTTGATTTTATGGGCTCATAGGCAGAAGAAACTCTCCTTTTCTCAGATAAGACTCTGGGCTTGGACTTTTGAGTTAATGCTGGAATGAGTTAAGACTTTGGGGGACTGTTGGGAGGGTATGATTTTAAATTGAATTATGAAGACATGAGATTTGGGAGGGTTCCAGACAGAATGATATGGTTTAAGCTGTGTCCCCACCCAAATCTCATCTTGAATTGTAGTTCCCATAATTTCCACGTGTTGTGGGAGGGACCTGGTGGAGATAATTGAATCATGGGGGCAGTTCCCCCATCCTGTTCTCATGATATTGAGTTAGTTCTCATAAGATCTAATGGTTTTATAAAGGGACTTCCCCCTTTGCTGGGCACTCATTCTTCTCTCTCTTGTTCCCTTGTGAAGAAGGATGTGTTTGCTTCCCTTTCCACCATGATTGTAAGTTTCCTGAGGTTTTCCCAGCCATGTGGAACTGTGAGTCGATTAAACATCTTTCCTTTACAAATTACCCAGTTTTGGGTATTTCTTCATAACAGCGTGAGAAGGGACTAATACACATTTTATCTGGAGAAAGGAAAAACATGGGCTTTGCTGCCTCTTCTTTCCACATTCGCTAAAGATCTATTGCAGATACCTTTCCTCTTTATGTTTTGGAAGTAAAGACAACCAATAGTTTTTAGGATGAGAACCTGAATTCTTCACCTTGGACTCCAAGGTCCTAAGAGGTCTGACACCTTCTTACCCATCCAAATCTTGTACTATGCTAGTACTATGTATCTATCCTTCTTCCAGCTCTGTCATCTTTCCATCACAGGGACAGCTACCTGAAATGCCCTCCTCTTATCCTACAGATGGAGCCATCACTCCCTTGGGGATGTCTTCCAAGACCTCTCTGATGAAGCCATCTCCCACTATTATCTAAGTTGTCACAGGAACACAGGCTTTCCTTCATCTCCCTCATCATAGTCATTATACTCATAGATTTGTGAGCAATTGATGACTATCTGTCACTTTTCCAGGATCTAAGGTTCACAAGAGCAGCAACTGTATTTGTTTTGCTTATAACATTCTTCTCAATTACTAGTACTGTGTCTTGTACTAGGAATTGAGAACCATCTATTGCTGAGAAAATAGTTCAGGGTGACTGAGAGCTCACCTAGGCTTCATAGAGCTCCTGATGCTGAAGGCAACCACTGGTTTAAGAAGGATGCTCACTATGTTCATGAGCACAGCATCTCATATTAAGGCAAGCCCTTTAGGATGTGTAAATAAGTCTTTCCCAGCATGTCTCTAACATGAAGGGGATGGGAGAATGGATAGAAGGAAACAGGGAAAAACTAATAATATTCCTTGGGATGAGATCAAGGATGACTAACAAAAAGAAGGTAATTATAATAATGCCTACAAACTTGTGTAATCTTTCTAGTTCAAGAAAGCCTCAAATATATTATCTCACTTGATCTTCATAATGCCAGAGGAAATAGGTGGATTATGAAGTTATATTGCCCGTTCAGAGCAGGAAACAAAGGATCATTGAAGGCAAATAAATTAGTCAAGGCTGGAAAATGGTGGAGCCTAGAGTAGGACCCATATCTTCCAGAGCTGTGCTGTCCAACATGGTAACTATCGGCCACGTGGAACCACATTATGGGTTATTGAGCACTTGAAATGTGGCAATTTAAATGAAGATATGCTGTAAATGTAAAATACCTACTCAGCCAAAGACTTCACACACAGATACAAGGATGCAACTTACCTCAATAATTTTATATTGCTTACACATGAAAATAATACTATTTTGGATATAGCAGTTTAGAAAATGTAATCATTAAATTGTTAATAATTATAATTACATAAATAATTATAATTAATAAATAATTGCTTCTTTTTTATTGTGGCTTCTAGAAAATTATCTAGTGGTATCTGTGGCCACATTTTATTTTTACTGGACAATATGGCCCTAGATTACAGCTCAGTACACCCATAGCTGCAGATTTTGAGTGGGATCTCGGACTGAATGGATGGTGAAGGCACTTTAGGTAAAATAGTGAGAACACAGGTGTAGAGATGGAGAATCATATGCTTTAGAGAAGTGGAGGCTAAATGTCTTATAGAAAATGAAACAGTGGAAGTACTTGAGAATTACATCGTGAAATACTGACTATAGCGAAGTGGAATGAATGCTGTATTTCAGCTGAGAAAGCAGGAAAACAGGATTGTAGTCTTCCGATACTAGCTTGTTGTGTGAATTCGGACAGTTCTCAATCTCTGTTGCAATCTTCCTCTTTCTTTCTTCCTTGTTTTCCCCTTTGGTAAAATGAGGGGTTAAATCAGAAGATCTTGAAGGTCCTCCTCTTTCTAGCTTGCACCATCTAGGGCTTTGAGGGGGCAGGTTTTGCCTGTGTGAAGTGTGCGGGGGTGTGTACATGTAGAACAAGCATGTCTGAGAGTCCATCACAGTCAAAGCTGGGCTTTAGGAAGGTCCATCTAACACCTCAGAGCAGGTTGATGTGGAGTAAAATGAGACTGGAAACAGAACTGAGCAGAACTGAACCAAACTGAAATAATCAGCTGAAATCAATTTGACTTCTACGCTTACCAGGAGGGCAAAGTGAAGCACCACCCATACAACGCCAAGTGACGTCACCAGGAGATCGTATCGGTTCCTTCTGCTTTGCCAGAAGCCAGCAGGTGACATTGCTATGATCTTCATGGTAACCTGGAGAAAAAGCAAAGAAGAAAATAAACAGAGGGAGGGTTTAGCACATATTTAAATGTATTAACTTGAGATGAATTATGTGTATGTATTTTTTTTTTTCAAATGAAGAAAATTCTAAATTATTTGATGTGGACACAGTATCTTTTTCATTGAAAATGAGACAAATACTTTAATGCCTTTTGAGGTTTCCTTTTAGGCCATGTGCCTACACTTTCTGTCTGTCTGTCTATTTATTTATTTTTTATTATTTTTTGAGACTGAGTCTCGCTCTGTCACCCAGGCTGGAGTGCAGTGGCGCAGTCTTGGCTAACTGCAGATTCTGCCTCCCAGGTTCAAGCGATTCTCCTGCCTCAGCCTCCGGAGTAGCTGGGGTTATAGGCACGTGCAACCACTCCTGGCTAATTTTTGTATTTTTAGTAGAGATGGGGTTTTACCTCATTGGCCAGGCTGGTCTCAAACTCCTGGCCTCAGGTGATCCACCCACCTCGGTCTCCCAAAGTTCTGGGATTCTAGGAGTGAGCCAGCATGCTCAGTTATGCTATCTATTTAAAGAATAACTATAAACAATGTAGTAACTAAACAGAAGAGTTTATTACCAAGATATATGATTTTATTTTTGAAGCTAAGTAGCTTACAAATCTGTTCTTTACACTCTCCTCTGTTTTATGACTAGTTCTGATAATGGGACATTTTTCTTCCTTAAGCAGAAGTCCACAGATTTTGGGAAACATCAACCAGTATACGGCAAAATGAGAATCTGCTTATATTTCAAGAAGATTGTCCTGGAAAGTGATATTATATGAATCATCACATGTTAAAATAACCTTGTCTGGGCCAACTTGCTTTGCTACTCTATTGCAATTTGAGTCAATGAATTATAGTGGCTTGCACCATTCCCTCTAAATATTAGAACTCGCATAACTAGACAGGCCAATGTTCAGACACAACAATCGACAGCAGCATTTCTGTAGTTAGAAAAATCTGATGGATAAAGTGATGTCTTTGTTCGAGTTAAGCAGAACCGCTTAAGAAGGAAATATCCTAAGGGCAAAGCTTCAAAGGCAATGGAACACAGAGAGGAGAGTAAGTGGCATCAAAGAGGGATGCTGATTTACTTTAAAACTGTGCACAGATTCCCCTAGAGCTAGCTGACTCATTACAGTACCTCCAGAACAAAGATGAAGGTGAAAACAACTGACATTGTTGCCAAAGGTACGGTCACCGGGTCCTCGACGTCCCACTGCAACAGAAACAGCGCACGAGTCATTGCCCACATCCATCAGACACATACAGGCTTGCCCCTCTTCTGCCCACTTTGCCATGACAGTGAATCTTAATTTTTATACCCAAGAACATAACTGTGAATGCATATAGCAGCTTGTGATACTCTCGGATGTAGCAGTGAATACACAATTCATTCCCGGAGCCTTAGGGTGAAACTAAGTACCTTGACAGAGAGCAACACCGACTGGGCCAGGACGAGCAATGCAATTGTCCTCTTAAAAAATGGATGCTGGGTTATGTCATACATTTTAGCTCTAAAACCATCATTATCTAGAAAAGAAAGGTTTGGGCAAGGGCATGTTAGACACAGGTCACATTTACTTTCTTGCCATTTATTTTCTTAAATGCTTATCTTAAAACCCATTACATTTTCCTCCCCAAACAATTCCATCTATTGTGAGGTGTTTTTGCAGCAATGGCTGGCTCTGAATATTTAAAATGACAGTGCATGACGCCGTCTATATTGGAAAGAGAAGTGCATCATTCAATTTCTGTCAGTTTAATACATTTCACTCATATTTTTAAAAGGCAAGCACAAATATATTTTATTTAAAAAATTCATTTTTTCATTAAGGCTTAGTCTGAGAGCACTGAAGCACAGCTTTTGGGTGGTTGCTTTTAATAGCCTTATTGAGAGATCTGTGGTTTGGAGGCTGTTTCCGTATTAACTTATGCACAGCCTCCCAGCGGCCTCACGATTATTATTTTAATTTAAATCTGAGACTCCTGGGGAATCGTGCACACTAGTGCCCAACATGAATAAAATCAGAACATCTTGGGTACCCGGGCGAGGCGGGAGATGAAGAGGCTGTGCGATCTTCAGTCGGCTCTTCAGGTCTTCCCATCTTCTCTGATCGACGGTCAGCAAAGCTGTTCCCTTAACAGACAAAGGAAAGCAGGAAACGGCCTTTTGTCATGTGCTTGCACCAAGAACATGGCAGATGGGGTGCAGAGACAAACAAGACTGATGTGGGGGTTGCGCTGACCATGTTCTTCCAACCGTGGTGGTTAGAAAACATGGTCAGAATGCTCAAAGTTGGTCTTGGGAAGAGTTCCCAAAATGATGACCAGGTGTTTCAGAGAGAATTCAGCAGCCTTCAACTTGTATCTTTGGAGATATGTAATATTCAGGTTTGGGAAAATATAAAAAGGAGTTTCTACATAATTACATTTTCAAAAAAGGACACTCACTCATAGTAGTTAGTTTCCTTTCATTTCATAGCAGCAAAATTATAGCTTGTCAATGCTATGGCTTCTAGTTAAGGGTATTTTGTCTTTAAAAAATGTCTAATATGTGTAATTGCAAAACTGTTTCTGAGAGATACTAAGTCACAGAGTTTGCATTTCAAGAAATTAGTGCTGTGATGCCTAAATGGAATTCCATATTCTATATAATGGAGTACTTGATTAAAATGCATATGATAAAATTATATTTTATTGCACTGCAGTGCATCATATTTTATCATAACGGCAGAAGTGTAATTTTAAAAACTAGACAAAAACCCCACTCTCCCTTTTCTTACCCAGAGCTAACCACTACTCTTCAGGTGTGCATCCTCCTTACTATGTTTTCAGACTTTCGTGCTTATGTATGTATCAATACATAAGAATTTGTTTTGAATTTTTTAATATTATAGAAATGCTGTCCAATATGTGATTATTTATGCTGTTTCTTTATACTTTCATTCAACAGTATACTTTCCATACAACTAGATTACTAGATCTAACTTGTTCAACTGCTCACAAACACTGTCCACTGTACAAATATCATAATTTATTCATTTTACATTTATGGACTATAACCAGTTCTGCAATAAGCATCCATGTACTGTCTCACAGTAAATATCTATGAGGGTTTCTCCATTGTAAATCTCTAGGAGAAGAATTGATGGGATCTAGGAATTTAAACATCTTTACATTTACCAGATGTTGCCAACTTGCTTTCCAAAGAGCGATAACCAAAACAAATCTCCTACCAGCAATATAGAAGTGTTACCATATCTTAATATTCTTGCAATACTGGATATTACTAGACATTGTAATCTGACCACTTTGATAGGTGTGAAATGTATCTAATGTTGTTTTAATATTAACGAGATGAAACATTTGTATGTGTGTAAATGGTGATGCTTGTATCTTCCTATGTGAATTGCCTATTCATATCCTTTGCTCATTTCTGTATTTTGATATTTACTTTTTAATTGTTTGTAGAGATTCTTTATAAATGCTGGATACTAATCTTTTGTCAATTATATAAGTTGTAAATATTTTCTCTTAGTCTTGGCTTGTATTTTTATTTTGCTTAGAGTGTCTTTTGTCATTCAGAAAATTTTAATTTAAATATAATAGAGTTTATAATTTTTTTTCCTTTGTAGATTTTACTTGGTGGCTAATGCGATGAAATCCATAATGACTCCAGGATAAAAAACAAATGCTTACTAGGGGTGGGGAGGGGAACTAGAATAGGGATAGTCAAATGTTGATTAACAGATACGAAAATTCAGTTAGATTGCAGGAATAAGTTTTAGTGTTCCATGGTAATATAGGGGGTGAATCTAATTGATAACAATTAATTGTGTATTTTTAAATACCTAGAAGAGAGGATTTTGAATGTTCCCAACACAAAACAGGGATAAATGTTTGAGGTGATGGATATGCTAATTATCCTGATTTGATCATTACACACTATAATACATGAATTGAAATATCACACTGTACCCCATAAATATGTACAATAACTATGTGTTGATTAAAAATAATAATAAAAGCAAAAACATTATTTGCTGCTTATCTGAAATTCAAATAAAAATAAATGCTGACATGGTTTAAAAATGGTTTAAATTTTGCTTTTCATATCGAAGTCTTTAATTCATCTGGAATTCATTTTTGAGTATGCAGTGAGGTAGAGATCTCAGCATAGCTCTTTACATCAATACAGTCAATACCCCCAACACCACTCCTTGTTGGTCTCACCACCCTCTGCACTAATTTGTTGAGCTGCTTCTGTTTTCTGCATATATGGGTCGCTGCTGGGTCTTTCTAGCTTTTTCTGTAAGTCTAATTTTCTATACCTATAACAATACTGACACTATTTTAATTATCGTAGCTTACTTTCTTGTTTTCTGTTTTTATTTTTGCTCAACCTTCCTAGAGGTTTATTGACTTGATTAAAAAAAACAAAACCCAGCTTTTGTTATTCTTGAACATTACAGAAGCTATACAAGTTTCCTCGCTTTCTGTATCATTAGTTTCTGTCCTAATCTTTGTTCTTTCTTCCCCCCTACTTTATTTGATTTTACTTTGTTATTATAATTTATTGATTTGGATATTTGACATATTAATATTTAACTTGTGATTCTTCTCTAATATATACAACTTAAAGTGATACATTTATTTGTAATTACTGATTTATCTATACCTCATGAGTTTTTGTATATGACACTATAAACTGTTTTGTCTGTAAATATTTTGTGATTTTCTATTATAATTTCTTCTTTAACTCATAAATGATTTAGAGTATTGTCTTAATATTTCCAAATTGTAGAGTTTTTATTTTTTTCATTCAGAAAACATTCTTACATTATCAATTATTTGGTAATTATGACTTTCTGGGAGATACATTTTGTGCTTGAAAATAATGCACGTTCTCAAATTGTTCGAACTAGTGTTTTCCTTATGTGTTCATTTGATTGTGTTTATTGTATCAAATCTCATATTTCCTTTTATTCTTCTCTGAATTATGAGATTTTTTGAGAAATATGTTAATATCTTTCACTATGATTTTGGATTTTCTAGCTTCTTTTTACAACTTGGTTAATTTTTGTTTTGTATATTTTGAGATTCGGAAGTTCTATACCTTTTCCCAATAATAGTGTTTAAAATTGTTCTTTTCTGATAATCACATTGCTAAACCACTTTTCTCACTAATTATAAACAAACACATGTTCTCTAGCCACCATAGACATTAATGGAATTACTTTGTTAAACAAAAAAATAATTTTGGAAAGTTGAACTCTGAAAGGATCTAAAAGAATAAGCATGGAAGTATCATCTGATCATTAATATATAAAAACCTCTGAAAGTTTATTATTGTCAAATTAGGTTAATAAATCACACACATTGTCTTATATAGTAGAGCAATCAGAAAAAATCTATATTACTAGTATAGACTTGGAACTTTTTAAAGAGGTTTCCATTTTCAAAAGAAGACATTTTTTGCATGATTCTGAATTGTACCCTAAAGATTCCCTCATTTTCTATCTCTGTTGTCTCTATATTTGGAAATTTACCTATGTGCCTTTGGGTATGACTACTAAGACGTGTGCTCCATGAGGGCAAATAACTTTTCTGTGTTTAGTGTTTCAGTTAGTTTGCTAGGTCCTCAGTGTCAAGAGCAGCATCTGGCACCTAGTAGATGCTCAAATACATCTGTTGAATGATTGAATAGTATATGAATGCTGTTACATGGCAGCTCATGAGCTGCTTTCTAAAAAAAAAAACTTGCAGAGAAATAAACTTTTCTAAGAGCCTCACATAATTTAGCAGTTGATACCTCCAATTAACAAATCAAGTTTGTGAAGCTTGGTAATATAATTTCTTGTCAATTTCTCCTTTAAGTGCCCATTTGAGCTGATAGAACATACACCCCAGATCCCCAAACAGGCCAAGTTGCTCTTTCCTACCTGCAGAACATAAATGCAGTGCTGGATGGAGACCTCCCTGGTTATTCTGCTTACCTCAGCCACTTCTCTAAGCTCAAGTGTTGCAATTAATTATACATTTATTTCCAGTTCCTGAACATTTTATGTTGTTCTATGTATGTTGCTGAGTTGTGAGCTGTGATACGTTCTAATCTTCCTGAAATCAGGTGCCTGCTCAGAGGGCTTCTTAACGGTGTTCTGGGCAAGCAGTGCCTAAACTCTCCTGTTAATTGACTGATTAGCTTCTGCTTATGTTCCAGAGTTCTCAGTGTCTGCTGCATTACATGGCTCAAAGGCATCTAAAAACACCCTTCTTCCTCTTTCTGCTTGGTATTAAACTAAACACTGTAGGGCTCAAAGCATCTCATTAATGAATGGGATAGGAGTAAAATAAGGGGCTGGGTGACACGATCACTACTGTTCTTTCTGTCTCTAACATCCCATGTTTCTGAGGGTCCAAGTAGAGTCGGGGCCCAAAAGAGGAATTTTTAAATCTCACCCTTTGAAAGCCTGAATGAAAGGACATGCTCATTAGCCACACATCAAAGGTGTCAATTGACTGGGTAACTGGTACCACACACGTTGAGCCTGAGGACAGTGAATGACAGATACAGTCCCATGTGTAGCAACACAAACTTAAGAGCTCTGATGTGAACGCATGGGAATCAGTCCTAGCCGTGAAGAACACCGAACAGCACGGTGCTTTACAGGCAGATCTAGCGTCAACTTAATGCAGAGTGAAGGCTGACTTTATGATACTCATGCCTTCGAAGAATCACAGAGCCTGCAGTAAGTAATAGGCACCAATTCTGAATTCTGGCCCTGTTTATCATACCTTTTAAGCCCCAGACTAGTCATTGCTTTTCCTGCAACCGTGCATTTGAGAGTTGTGAGAATTGACTGAATACATAAAATCTTAGTACACAGTGTGTGCTCAAAAACTGCATGCATTTCTCTTACTATGATTCCAAAGACTGCCTCTCAAACAATAGAGGGCACAGCACAAGTGCCTAGATGAGCAAGTACCTCTCCAAGGAGTGCTAATAGAATGTTCTTCCCCAAACTCACGCTTTGATAGGAAACTACATTGTTGTTTTCCCATTTGTAAGTCTTTGTTCTAATCATTAGAGCTGTTACAAACTCAACAGGCTTCCCGAGTTCACAAAGTATGTCAAGTTCATATGAAATTAGAAAATCTTTGTTTTTTCTTTTTTGAGTCTCGCTCTGTTGCTCAGGCTGGATGCAGTGGTGTGATCTTGGCTCACTGCAACCTCCGCCTCTTAGGTTCAAGCAATTCTCATGCCTCAGCCAACCCAGTAGCTAGGATTACAGGCATGCATCAACACGCCTGGCTAATTTTTGTATTTTTAGTAGAGACAGGGTTTCACCATGTTGGCCAGGCTGGTCTTGAACTCCTGACCTCAAGTGATCCACCTGCCTTGGCCTCCCAAAGTGCTGGGATTACAGGCGTGAGCCACCATGCCCTGCCACAAAATCTTTTTTCTGTGAATTAGGATTTTAAAATTTCTACCAGATTCCCCTCATCCCCATCAAAATTCTGAGTTCACCTACTGAGTTACACAGAAGCATACAATTTACATTTAGTGAAAGTAATATTACCTGTAATTAGTGAATCACTTTCATCTATTGTATTTTAATAACTTGCTGCACATCTTTTCACTTTGAACAATAGGAGATGAATTAATGACACTGTTACCAAAAGGGTAAATTTAGCGAGAGAACTGTACTCTTAAATGATGGTCTGAAAAGCAGCAATAAGGTTGCTTGTAAAACAGTTACAGAGATTATTTACACCAGTCACATTACAGTTTAATGCGGCTTCATGCTGCGTGTGAAAAGAAAAAAATAGCTCAAAGTGAGAGGCTAGAAAAGGCTAAACCCCGTGGTATCCAAACCAAAAATTCTTACCTTGTTTTCATTGAAATTAGCAATAACTACTCCAACAAAAAGGGTCAGTCCAATCATGCAACCCAGGAATACAAAAACATGAATATAGATTCCATGGATCTGCAAAAAGGAAAATACGGTTATTCATCAAGACAAATGAAAGCTGCTCTTGAAGTGTTCAAAGGATTCGATGTGCTTGCTTACCGGCCCCACACGATGAATAATAACATCTCTCACTTCCACCCAGCCTTTCAAGGAGAGAACTTCAAACAATGCCAGCATAGCGTTTCCCACATTGTCGAAATTAAAGTTCCGAGGATTTGCCCTGCAATTCCAATACAGGAATGTTCTGTGAAATTCCAATAAGAAGCACCCGAGGCAAATATCTGTAGCCTTTTCCAGTCATGGGTGTGGGATATGTGTGGGATATGCACACACACACACATATACACACACACACACTTTTATACTATATGGCATTCAGTTGCTAAATCATAACAATGCATTGATGTGTTATTATTGTGTTCATTAGGAAATGATGGGGTGATCTCAATGTAAAACAGCTCCAGTTCTAGCTTCAGAGGTTCTGCAACATTTCTACCTTGTCGTGATTACCCTGAGGACTGGACAGATGATTTTATCGATTTACACAAAGAAGCACTGGATTTTGGATGTGGATTTTGAAACAGTTTTGTAACTGAAAACCTTTCTAAAGGCATAAATTACAATTGCCTGCGTTAGTATAGAAAGCGTAGAGTAGAATTTAGTCACTTTATTTCACTTTGTGTCGTCATTGTGAACACAGGGCCATAAAGTAGTGATGCATTTAGAGGTCACTGAGACAGCAAGAGGTGTTTGCTTGTAGTCTGTATTTTTCCAAATTACTGTCTTCCAGTTGGATTGTTTTTCTTATTAACTCTGAGTCTTCTCAGTGGACTCTTAGTCTGGTCCCCTTTACGTGTGGTATGCTTTCTACCTCCACCGCTGATTCCTGATTCCTGAACTCATTGGCTTATTATTCATTTTCTTTTTTCTTACAGATTCAGGGGGTACGCATGCAGGCTTGTTACATGGGTGTATTGCATAATGCTGGGGTTTGGGCTTCTAATGAACCCGTTACTCAGATAGTGTGCACAGAATCCAACAAGTAATTTTTCCAACCTATGTCCTCCTTCCTTCCTCCTCCCGTTTGAAGTCCCCACGGTCCGGCATTTCCAT